GAGTTCAAGCAAATTAGGATATACCAACTGAAGAAAAAGCTCATTGGAGAGAAGCGACTGAAAAGGCAGCTTGGAAATGCGAGGAAAAACGATGATGTTAAGCTGATTGAAGAGCTCGGAGAAAGAATGGAGAGGTACGGTGCTACCGATGCAGGTTGATTTGCAGCCCGTGCGCGAATGAAGCTTTGCAATTCTATAGACCGTGTTGTGTGACCCGGGGTTGCGGCTCCACTTGTGGGAAGGACCAATAGTTACACGTCTGAGGGTACCACCGTGCCGCTCTAACAACTCTCTGGGCGGCTCGGCTGATGGTTCGGCTTGTAAGAAGCTTTCTTCTCGGCTAAAAAATTTCTTAACCTAGTCGGCTGCGGGAGAAAATAATGGAGCTCTGGGCTCTAGTGAATATATTGATTTTTCGAATCGTACTCTTAGGCTAAACAAATATTTGTTATTTTGACCTGTTTCCATTTCTTCGATTTTAGGCGCGGCGACGGTGATGGCCTGCCAAGGTTGAAGGATATCGAGCAGTTCCATAAGAAGCGTAAGCAGACGAAAGAAGAACGTTTAGCAGATATAAAGGAAGGCCACGATGAGAACCAGAAATTTGGACGACCCAAGAAAACGGTTAGCGATTTTGAAATTCGGCTGACTTATTGGCTACCATCTCTGCTGTTTTCATCAAAATTAATTCAACCAGTTTTTTTCGTCAGTAGACAACTGTTGTTGTATTTTACCATTTTTCAGGGTCCTCACGTTGGAAGAACAAATCGTGAAATGGCTAAGAAGAAAGTATTCAGCATGGTGAAGGCGAAGGTAATTTTTCTTAATTTTTTCTTGTGTTCATGTTCTTGTTGTTGAGAATAAATATTGAGGAAGTTCTTCTTCCTAGAAACGCTTTTTCCAGGTTCGAGGAAAGAATCGACAACGTTCATTCCGAGATCAACAGAAGAGCCTCAGAAATTATTTGCTTGCGGCAAAGTGGCCGTAAGCCACAGTAAATCCAGCGAATGTTTCAAGAGTTTTATTGTTATCATTGTTGAAGTTGGCACAATGTTTTTGTCCGTTATTGTTGCTACTCTTCCAAATGAACCTACTCCTGGATTTTTTGTTCGCAACAGATAATGGCGAAAAGCTAGTCTTCAAAAATTCTTGTTGGAAGATATAGACCATTTTATTCCTTTTATGTATGCTTTTTTTTGAGGGGGATAGACTAATTCATCTGTTGTGATAGTAGGTAGGTAGCTAACATCACCATTTCGTCTAGACCTATAGTTAGCTACATCCGTACTAACAAAAATTACAGGCGACATTGGGGATAAAGTTCGACTCTCGTACATGTCTCAATAACGTATTCAGACTGGCGCGTAGACTAAAACAGTTCGAATGCGGGCGCGCAGATCGTCTGTCGCCCCGACTATGTTCTAAACCATTTGGTGACTTCAATTTCACATAATACGACACATTGCCGCATATGCCCCCATAATCCACCGCCAACATCTCCGCCGATTCTTGGTTTTAGCCTCACCAAGTCTGATGTAAGCAGTTGTGGTGATTGGTATATTAGCGATGAAAGAAAGCGAGAAAAACTGCCTAGAAAAAATCCCTGAAATCGCACTACGCACTTGATCGGATGAGCGTGGTTCGCGCTCCGTCGCTCCACTGGTTGATCCCCCTCTTTACCATGTTTTACGACATCGGAGGAACCGCTAACGTGGGGTGCAAAATCCGCCCATACCATCAGCGCAGTGCGATGGTGAATCTTCGCGTTTTCTTACACTTTTCCATCAACTCACATGTCCAAGAAGAGGGCGTCAAAGAGGCAAACAGAGTAAAGACTGTCCCCCCCCTCCATTGGAGATTTTCACAATAATAGCAGCGCTCATATCCCTAGACGGGGGGAGGGGGCAGGGGCGTGCGTGGTAGCATCGATAACTAGCATCGGAAATAGCCGATGGTAAAGAAGAAACGCCAAAGGACATTGCTCAGATCCTCGTCGGAATCTCTTCCCTCCCTAACAAGGCTCTCAAGTGCTGTAAGTGGCTCACTCACTTGAATGAATTCACTAGAATCTAATGAAATGAGCGCCGTACTAACGTGGGCGGAATGGAAGCCAGCTATGCTCCACGCCGTCTACGAGTTACTAGAATCCGGTCCTTTGAACCGCCTCAATTTAATGCTCCCCCTGCCCTCTCGCCTTGATAGCGGCTGATAACTACTGCTTGATCTCCGTAAATGTCCTTTGCCAACTTTGCTTGGCTTACCCACCTCGATACTCCTCCTCTCTCTATCAATGCTATCTATCAGACCTAACCGTTTCTCTTCATCAACTTTGGAGCTGAAGGAGCATGCGGGCTTCTCTAATCATGCGGCTCCCTAGACCATTTGAGGGTCATACCACCTCAAGTCGTACCGTTCCGTGCCCCAAAGGCATGATTGCTTTACCAAAAAAGCTTACGCCCAACGCCGCTTCGTGAACTCTGTTCCTGCCGGGGTGTTGAAGCTCAGGGTGAATAACGGTCGAGGAAATCCTCGACAGGGGGTCGTATTTGCTCCGATGAGAGTTGGGAGGGGGTCGTAATCAAAAGGTTCATCAACGGACACAACGGTGCTGCTGCCACTTATTTGCTGTCATCATTACTTTCACAAGTGTTGTAGTTAGCCTAATGCAAATAATATCTTACAACTGTCTGGAATTAAAATTCAAATGGAAAGTGGTTGTTGGTTTGGTTCGTAGTGATCAGTATGGCATAGGAAGGCAACGCGTCCTGCAAAAGAATCGTAGAAAGGGCAGCGAGTATCTACTCTAGAATGATGCACATGCTTCGAGAACTTAGTGGAGGAACAGCATCTTGGTAGAAAGTTCAAAACAGGCAGATTCGCAGCCTTCTTGGCATCATCAGATCCTGCAACCGCAAGCTGTCATTCATCAGAACGGGTTGGAAAGGAAGCGATTGATTAGAAATAATCACATCACTACGACACAACAGCCACATAGTTAATACTGGAAATCTTTTGGTGTGACTTAAGCAAGTCGTCACTAGGACAAAACACCTTCCCAATGACTCCGAGTGGGGTCACTGCATGGCGCATACAAGAACGGAATGGATCTGCGCCAAGTGCATCATTTTCAATTTACTCCATCGAACTGACGCGTACAGAAGTATTTTGAAGGTGTTCAAAGAAGTTCCCTACTACGGCAAGGGAGTAATAGAGTTTTCGAGTGGCTTCGAAAATTTCCTTGACATTTCCTCGACGCAGATTTCTCGCAACTGAGAGCGCTCCGACCAATAGACACTATCAAAAAGCGCAAATCTTCTACTTCACAACGCTTTCCTCCGATTTTCAAAGCATTGCCAATGAAGACAGCTACTGCTTCCAAAGAGTGGGAACTCGCATGTAAATTTCAGTTTCCTCGACAATTCCTCGACGTCTCCCACTCTCGAGAATAGGCGTGCTTAGAAAAACGCTCAGCACAACTTCGAAACTAGAAGTCTCGTGCATTCAAAAGCTGCCTTCACTTTCTGAAACGGTTATCAATGAAGAAAGTTATAGTCCTTTGAATAGGGGGTACATTTGACGATTTTTCCAACTAGCGCGCTCTAGGCACAGCGCGCGACGCGATCGCGGGTAGTTAGCGCCGCTATACTGGAGCGCGAGACTGTTCAACTGTGTAGGGGCAGTACCTCCTTCAATGTTCTACTTTCCGGCCAATGTGGCAAAGGTTAAATGTCTTTAAAGGAAAGAAGGAGAACCTAATCTGAGCAGAATTGAATCTAGCATTTGGATCAAGCCGCATTTGCGTGGCAGCGGCGCTGCGTCCCTCTCGCACATCTGAAACTAGCATTTTTTGATATGAAACCGGATGTGCAGAGGACAAAAAGGGGTCGTATCAGAGTCCATGTTTTGGAGGGGGGTCGTAAAGAGGCGGTTATTTCCTCGACACGATTTTCACCCTGCTTGGAAGGCCCCTTAGTGTTTCACATGGCTTTTGACAATGATGTTCTCATCGATGACAAGTTCTGTCTGTGATCACGACGGGTCTCTCACGGGGAACAGCTGTACACAACACATTCAGCTCTGTCAAGTATTTCCCCGTAAGAAATCCGGAGAACCCTTGTCTTCGAGCAAGATCGGTGACAGCAAATATGAAGCCGGAAAAAACAAATTACGCTCTCATTTATTGACACTGATAAAGTATGAACATGAGGCCATCATAATACTAAATAGCTAGTCATCAAAGTATATAGGCCTTAGCAGTGTTAACGCGTGTCAAAACAGCATCGCTACCGATTTTGCAAAAACGCTCTGCCCTGTTTTTTCAAAGCGCAGTTTATACATTGATATATACATTGGAATACGGACGAAAGTTATCATGTTTAGGCACCAATAGCTTCCGAGCAAATTACAAAGCAACATAGCAATCAATATAGAAACACGATGACAAGTGCATGATTATGAGTGGTTGATATGGCTGATAATATCAACCTGGCAATGATTTCAATGTATGCTCAACTACATCAAAAATAGATCGCGTCCATTATGTGACCATCGCGGACCAAAGGGCAAAAGAATTAATGGAGTACTAAAGAAGTAGTAGAGTAGCCCCGGTAAGAACTCTCTCTATGCTCCCTAGTTTGTAATCCGACTGTAAACGATAGAAAACGGCAAGAGATCAAAGACCTCTCCTGTGCCAGCGATGAAAAAACAGCTGACATACCACACGATATTCAACATATAACCAATGAAGAATATAAATTTACAAATGTGAGTCACATTGTCAGCGAATGTGTTGAAATTTACACGAGTGAAAATGTGGGCATCAAGAACAACAGTCGAAAATTCAAATCCCAAACAACCATTT